TCTTCTTTCTTTTACTGCATTCTTCTTTCTTTCACAGTTTTGCAGTTTTGGCGAAGAGTCTACCACGTTCATTTTTCAGCACACCTGCACTTCCTTCTTCATTTTTTATTCTCATTTTCACCCTTCGGACTTTTTCTTTGAGGGCGTTAGGGTGCAGGGTACAAACAAAGAAAAACGACACAAACTTATGTTCTTCTTTTACTGCAGTCTTCACTGTTTTGCAGTTTTAGTGAAGGGTTTCCCACCTTTGCACATTCTTGTACACTCTTTTCAGCGCACTTGCACATTTTTGTCAGGGTGCAAGGTACATCTAAGTAAGACCCTCACGACAGATAGGACAACTATCATAAGGATGCGGGCGATGGTAGCAGCCCTCCCGCTGATCTATAGGACGAAAACCATTCAGGTAAGCAACTTCGTCACAGCAGGAACCAGGACGGCTAGCATCGACCATACCTCTGAAGCATGCACGGCAGAGGGCATGCCGGTTGCAGGCCATAACCATTGTGGGGCGTTCACCATCACAGTTAAGTGCACATTCGCTATAGCGCCCAAAGGCACAGATGGGACATACTGCATCTGGATGCAGAGGATGTTCACAATCCGGATACAGGTGGCATCCCTGCCGACATATATATATATATATATATATATCTGTCTATCTATGTATCTATCTATCTATCTATCTATCTATCTATCTATCTATGTTTATCTCTCTCTCCTCCAGGCAGATGCTTGCAGCGCACGGGGGGGAGCACACCGGGGGACAAACCTTGATTTTGGCCCCCATATCGCCGCACATCCATTTTTGTGCGGCCATAAGGCCAACGTTTTTCTTTGCCTTGCCCTTGGTTCATTACTTTTTCAGGCAAGATGCACTATTTTTGCCTGTCCTGTTCGTTTTCAATTTTGTGTTCTAGGGGTCTGACTCCACCACTCTCAATTGGGCGTTTTTTTCAAGAGTGAGGCAAGGCCCCATCAACTCTCCATTTCAAACTCTCAAAATTTGTTTGAGAGTTATAAGATTCCACGGAGAGGACTCAATTTTCCAAGAGTCCTCAGCATGCAGGCTCTTGATTTTCAAGAGAGAGTTGGTCACACGTCGGGACCCAGCTCTGTTTGTCTTCTCATCATCATGCACAACGAAGAGGTGAGAAAACCAAAAACAACAATGTTGTAGAATCCAGAGTAGGTGAAGAGAGGCCTCAAAAACCACGGTTTTCGAGAGTCTGACAACTGACAACTCTCTCGACTGTCAGGTGGAATTGAGAGTGGTGGAGTGTGGCCCTAGTTCACACATTTCGGCAGTTGAAGACAATTAAAGACTTCATCCGCATTAGGACTGGACCTTTTGTTTGTCCACTGGTGCCTGGCCAAGCCCTTGTCCGTACTAGGCAGGCCTAGGTATAGCTGTTGAGGCAGCAGGTGGGCCTCACATCCAGCCCTTGTCCGTGCTAGGCAGGCCTAGGTATAGCTGTTGAGGCAGCAGGTGGGCCTGGCATCCAGTAGGCGCCCACGCCACACTTTTTCTTGGCCAGGGCCACTGGAGCAGGACTTCGGTCACTCCTGGACCATTGGATCGGATTAAGTCCGATGGCCCAGGCGAGCTACCGGATGTAGGGAGTGTGGTCAAGCGCGTGGTAAGCAGTACATAGCTGGGCGTCTCAAGTTAGTCGACTCACAGAGTCAGTTCGTGTTAGTTGCCACCAGGATGCTGGAAAGCAGCATTCGAGTGTGTTAGTGCTAGTAAGGAGAGGACTAGCAAAAGTGGAGGTCTGCTGCAATAGAGGTGCAGGGCAAAGGAGGACTGACCTTAGGACCATAGCTTGGGGACGTTGAACAGCCATTGTCGGGCTTCCACTCTGTGACCTGTGGTGCCTCAAAGCAGCACCTGTTACTGGTCAGTATCTTATTTCACACAGTAAGAACGAGATATGTTCCTCTTGTTACTTCTTCTCTCCATCCCTGCCCCTTCCCCAACTTCAGAGAGAGAGAGAGAGAGAGAGATCAACAAGCTTGGCAGCTATCCTGGGGAGACATCTCGCAGTTCAGATGTCAAAACTGTTTTGGCCCTTTTGGGAGAAAATTTGGAGGCGGAGCTGATTATTATACTTCAGCTTGTTGTATCTCAGCCTCTTCTTTCCCTCGGCATCCATGGGTTTCTTCCCACAATCGTCTATGTAAGCAAGGAGGGAGACATCTCACAGTTCAGATGTCAAAGTTGTTTTGGAAGGAAATTTGGAGGTGGAGCTGAATGGAGGACAGATTATTAGTATTAGTACTTCAGCTTGTTGTATACCGGCCTCTTCTTCGTCTTCCTTGTTCTCTTTCCCTCGTCATCCATGGGTTTCTCCCCGTGATCGTCTATGCAAGCAAGGAGGGAGCTTTCATCTCTGCATGTCGCCCTCCTCAACATCTCCTTGCTGATGACGAGTGCATTGTCTGCATTCTGTTCTCGACGCAATTTGCTTGATTTTAGACTGCCGCAGCATTACATTGTTGCTCCTCTCCACTCTGGTGATTCTTGGGTCTGCACCATACATGCTACCAAGACAGGTAGGTGATAGTTGGACACAACCGAGGTTCGACAAGGTGAAACCAGCGAAATCTTCCCAGACGACAGGACCAGACGTGTTCATCCGGCAGACAAGGGGAAAGGAGCGGGACGGGGTCGCCTCGATGGTTTAGGAACAAGCCGGTGGACGTTAACCCGCTGAATTATTGATCAGAACCATAGCCTAAAATGAGTACCATGGGTGGGCTAACGATGTTCAGAAAAATGGGCACAGCATAGCCTTAGCAAGGGTGGATTCATATTGTTCTTCAGAAAGCACGCAATCCGGAAATGATATCGTCCCAGTTCCAAAGTGACGTCTCTAGGAAATGTTTTCAAACATTGCCACGCCTCCTACCGACTCCCCCTCCCTCACCCTGCATCTCTGTCACCAACACCTGCAGCTAACGCATTCATCATTGACTTCACCCAAGTGCTCAATTCAAACTTCAAAGTCCACATGAAATAGCATTGCCCTCTCCCTGAAGCTGGCCACAGGAGGCCACAGTAACTGGCACCACATCTCGCATGACATTGAGCAAGCTACACCAGCATGGTGTTATGTCCCTCTTGCAATGGCTTAATGTATCCATGAGGTGGAATACGTTGTCTGGATATCTCAGCATACCTATCTGGAGTACACATCCCAGCAGCGCAATCCATTTTTTCAAGCTACACCAAGGCGGTACACACGCTTGGGGTAGTTTGGGAAACGAAGTTGCACCATGTGCTGCAATTACCACAAGTGCTGGCATTACACTCTCACCCTCATGCTGCCTCCGATATTCGCACTAGTGTCAATATGGTGCCACCAATTCACATCAACATATGCAGTGTTGCTGCCTTTGGCTGCTACTCCCAGTGTGGAGCTGACCCCTCAAAGTGCAGCTGTCAGGAGGGCTTTCCCTTGTTGCACTGAACCTTAGTTGATGGTCATGTTGTATCTGTTGATTATGAACATCATCTCAAATGCACTGTTCTTAACAGATGGTCATCATGTTGTTTCTGTTGCTTATGAACATGATCTCAAATGCACTGTTGCACAGTCTATTCTGCGAACAATCTGAGCACTGCTTGAATGGTGAGGTCCAGTGATGTTCTCAATGCACTTGTGACTGGGCTTGACGAGTATATGGTTGGCAAGTATAGGAAGTCTTTGGCCATGCAGCCTCAATTTCTTCGCCCTCTTTCATCTTGTGTTGAGAAATTGCAGCCTTGTTGAGAAGACGTCTTGTCTTTTCTCCTGCATCAACCACATAGACCATGGCCTTCTGCCACCTGCAGCGACATTTTGCTAGTCCCTACGATCACGACATCGCTCCGTCTAGCGATCCGAAGTACGAAATGACAGTTGTTCCATCTGTCTCTTCATTTCGATAACCCTACTCATACCCGCACATTCTAATTTGATGCCAACTTTCTTTGACCTTCGTGCCACCTGTATGGACCTTGGGGAAAGGCTCGAACCCAGATTGTCAAGACATCAAAAACTGTGAGAAATGCTGCTCTGGAAACACCAATTTGGCATTGAACCAGGATGAAACCTGCCCTTCATTGGTAGTATGAGCTTGTTTATCGGAACAAACGCAAACCCAGATTGTCGAGATGTCCTCAAAATGAGTATGTGCTTCTCAGCAATACATATTGCCACTTCGCCACATTTTATGATGCATTTCATTGGTTGGGGGTGGGGGGGGGAGGGATGATATTGTAATGTAGTTCCACTGCCACCACAGCGCCTCAGTAGCGCAAGCAACTTGAAGGAGCGGAAACCATAGCACTGGTCGTTTCCTTCGCTTTCCAAGGTGCACACCTCCATACTCGGGATGTTGGATCACCAACATCCCGTCATTCGGTACCCTTACTTCTGTGGGTGGTATTAGCCAACAGCCTGAGGAGTCTTGCATCTGGAGTGGGTGGATGACAGTCCATTTTGATTTGGGGTCGAAGCAGATTACGGCTCGAAGCAACTGTAGTGGGATCTTCAGTTAGTGGTGCAGCAGCTTCCTGGCGAGCCAGCGAAAGTCCAACAAGGCAGGCAGTCTGCCGCAGGCTCCTGTTTTTGGTCCTTTCCTCTGGTTCTGCATACCGTTCACAAGCCAGTGAGAGCGGAAAAGGCTCATGGGCTATTCGGCTGCTCACTATCGGACTTAAACCGATAACCTGTGGACAACCTTTGAGACCAACTCGTCACAAGTTGCTGATAAACCTCAATGCTGTGCAACAAACCTGACAGTCAATGTCCATGTATGCCAATAGAAGATTCACAGAACAAGCAGTGGAAGATTTGCAGTACCTCTCTCATAGTCAATATGAATCTATGGCCCGGGTGGTAATGCTTAATGCAATCTCAAATTATTCAGGGGCTTTGGGGGGTGTGGGATGCTTCATTGCTTCCCAAAAGGTAATCAATAATGCTGACCTCATTAGACATTTGTTTGCGTACCTGGTGTCAAGAGAAGAAATGGCTTGCACACATCCCCGCGGAAAAGACCCCACTCAATCTTCTTGAAGCTCCCTTCCTTCTGTAGGTACCGCTCGATTGCCGCCAAGTACATTGCTCGCTTCGCATGGTACCGGTAATTGAGAAAATCTTTCTCAAGGAAGCAGCTCTGTCAAGATAACCAAAACAAGACTGTGTTCAGAACTCCGCATGAGCAGCAAAGTATGGGGAACCAGAAAAAGTGGGCGACCAAGATGGGGGACCAAAGATGGGGGACCAAGACAGGGGACCAAGACGAGGGATCAAGACGGGGGACAATGACGGAGGAACAAGTCGGAGGACCGCGACGGGGGACCACAACGGGGCACCAGAAGGGGATGCAATGCAAGAAAAGGAAGGAAAGCAGAGATGAAACAAGGCAAAAAGAGGAGAACAAGTGCCGTGGGAGAACAGTTGCACCAGCTTTGCAACTGAAGACAGGGGGAGAGAAAGGGATTAAGATAAGACAGACGAAAAAGGGGAAACTGTGCAACATCACGAACTCACACTTCATGCCGCAGCACTCCACACATAAGATGCAAATCACACGGTTTGAGAACACAGCGGGAGTTGTCTGCCAATTCAGAGCCTTATACATAAAGCCTCATCTATGTACACTGGCCTGTGGCTGCCACTCTCTCTCTCTCTCTCTCTCTCTCTCTCTCTCTCTCTCTCTCTCTCTCTCTCTCTCTCTCTCTCTCTCTCTCTCTCTCTCTCTCCAGCTGTGGGCGTCGTGTGCTGTTGACTACCCTATTGACTGTCACTCCAGCCTCACTCGATTCTTGACCACATAAGACCACAACAGCGCTTCCGCGGCAATGCTCAAATGCAAATTGTCTTGTCGATTTGCTGCCACTGGACTTTTGAACTTGGCTGCAGTTCCCTATCATGGACTTTTCCACCGGTACTGGTTCCATGACTTGCCGGCTGGGGCCCCCCTTTTGACGCTTCCCGTAGTTATTGGACTTTCCCAGGATTGGGCTGCTAGTTTTGGACTGGAGTGACAAACCTAACAAAACGGAAAGCTGACTGGCCTACCGGCCTCCACTGTAAAAACCTACCTAGTACGCACAAGCCTACAAGATGAGACTGTCGTACGTGGGGCACTGGGACACTGAGATGCATGACATCGTTTTCAAGGGGCGAGGAAAGGGGACAGGAGGCGAACGAGGAGGAAGGGGAGGTGGGGAAAACGGATGGCTGGAGGGAGGGTGAAAAGTGACAGTAAAACATCTGCCTGGAACATCTGGAAATGACCGAAAAGTGGGATCGTGTGAAGAAACCCACCCACCTTTGGTATTTGAATGCACAAATCAACATTTTGCACCGGCTTTGCGATGGTTTGTACCATGAAACTCCCAACAACCTCCACACACTCTGGCGGCTTGAAACAGAAGCCAATCTTTCCAGATGGTGCCTGCAGTCCCAAACCCCTCACAAAGGCACTTGCTATGTTTGCCTCCACCTACATAACAGAGAACAAGGCATCACAACAGACAGGAGCAGCACAAGTCAGAAACATTGATGCAACATGAATAGAACGCATATCCACCTCTGCTGACTTCTCCCACCTTCTGAGAGCTTATTGCCTTTTGAATGATGCGATGGACAACGGATACGCAAAGGTTGTAGAGTATTCAGGTTTAGAGCAACGGTGTCTAGGTGTTAGGGGTTAAATGACTAACGGTTTATTGTAAACGCTGGGTTTTAACTGTTAAGGGTATTGAGGGTTCAGGGTCTTCACAGCTTGTAAAGAGTGTTGAGGTTCACAGTAATGGGTTTTAAGGTATAAACCCTTGACAGTCAGTTCTAGGGTCAGATGTTAACCCTAACGTCAGAGGTTATAGGGTATAAAGGGTTAAAGACTTAAAGTACTCAAAATTGAGCATGTCAGAGGTTAACCCTAACGTCGGAGTATAAGGTATAAAGGGTTAAGGTACTCAAACTTGAGTGTGTCAGAGGTTAACCGTAGCGTCAGAGGTTAGGGTATAAAGGGTAAAGGTACTCAAGATTGAGCGTGTCAGAGGTTAACCCTACCGTCAGAGATTAGGGTATAAAGTGTTAAGGTACTTGCAATTGAGCGTGTCGAGGGTTCAGAGTGTCGAGGTCTAGAGAGATGAGGTAAGAAAGTTAGGGTTTAGGGGACCAATCTTTTAATAACTATCGGTTGCAACAGTGTTGCATACCGTATAGGTGCAGACCAGAACAAGAACCGACCTTTCAATACAAGGTATAAGATAGCACCGCGGAAGACTTAGATACCAGTGATCCGAACAATCAATGTTGTAATGCAGCCCTGAACATACATCATCATCATCGTTTCATAGTGTGAATGGGTCTGGCGCTTCACACAGGAAGACAGCGCCAGCCCAGAACATGCACAGACGAGGAGGAAGGGGATAGACGAAGAGGAGGGGGAAGATGGGAATGTCGTCAACACCAAGTCTTCGGCACAAGCCCAAATAGTCCCTCGTCGAACTGTCTGAATCCCAAATGTCAAGTCTGGATCCAATGTCGTCAAGTCTCAAGTCACAACTCTGTCTCCCTCCAGTCTCTTATACACATCTAGATGTGTATAAGAGACAGCAACCATACACAGACGAAGAAGGAGGGGTTAGACGAAGAGGAGGGGAAGATGGGAATGTCGTCACACCAAGTCTTCGGCACAAGCCCAAATAGTCCCTCGTCGAACTGTCTGAATCCCAAATGTCAAGTCTGGATCCAATGTCGTCAAGTCTCAAGTCACAACTCTGTCTCTCTCTGTCGTAGTCTGAAAAGTCAGGTGGCGAGAGGGTGAGAAGAGAAGGTGGACTTAGAAGAGGAAGAAGAAGAACCCTCTCTCTCTCTGTGTCCAGTACTAACCTGTGAAGTTGGCGCCTTGATGCAGGTACCACGAAGATGGAGCTGGAGCGATGGCGCCACAGGTAAGTTACACTGGGCTCCGGGCCATTTTCAGGCCCTCATTGTTTCGACCTGCTCCTAAGACTCAGGCATGGAAACAGGGATGCGGAACATGCCCAAAATAGCCTGTTCCTCACGTACTCGAGCAGGAGCTGCAGCTGCAGCCCCTGCCTCCCTTCGGCAGGCTCAAGAGGCACACCCGTAGTACATAGGAGGTTCCCATGCACTTCACGGGTAGGTAGTGTCAGTAGGCAGAGGTAGTCTTCAGGGATTCGGCCGCAGCACTCAGGAGGAGCGCTGCAGTAGTCTTCAGCGCTAGGCAGTAGTGGTAGCGTTAGCTGTAGTCTTCGGCGCTGGGCGCCATAGCTGTAGCTGTAGTCTTCAGCGCTGGGCGCTGGTAGGTAGTAGATCGTAGAGTGGGAGAGCAGGCTGAAAACTCTGGGTCTGAAAAGACCCAGAAATAGGCTGAAACGAGGTGGGGCCTGCAGGCCCTCGTTTTTCAGCATCCAGGCTGAAATGAAYGGGGCCTGTAAGCCCTAAGTTTTAGGCTTCTAGGCTGAATGTCCGGGACGGGCCCTGTAGGGCCCGTGTGGCTACGCAGTATGCCACACCCCCCCCTCCTTGAAGAACCGAGCTTACCTGCGAGGGCGAAGCTGTCTGTCTGAGGGAGGGACCACAGTCCGGGTGGGAGGGGCCGGTCGTGAAGCTTCGTGAGCTAACCTGCGCTTTTCATAATGCGYGTAGATCAGCGGTGCGGATGCTTTCAAATCTGCGCCTGATATCCACCGAGTGTCGTCGCGATCGCATGCTTTGAATGTGACTTTATACTGYCGCGGCTTGTTGCCGTACTTGCGATCGGAGATGACGCGGTCAACTTCCTGATGGCCATCCATAGAAGGAGGGTCCTGCGATCATCGGTCCGGAAAGTCGTCGCTCTTGGCTGGCGTGTAAGTTGCCAGCTTCGAGGCGTGGAAGACCAGATGGACCGTCAGATGCTCTGGAATGTTGATCACAAATGAAGGGCCATCGGGCTCATCGCCCGCGGCTGCTGTCACAGACCAAGGTCCAAACCACTTGGGAAGCAGTTTGCGTGAAACATCCTGTTCCATTGCAAACTCTTACGCGGAGACCCAAACCAGATCACTGGCGCGGATGGGACATGGTACGCGACGCCTGTTGGCTTGCTGCTGCATGCGGACTTGAGCCTTTTGCATATTTGCGCGGGCTTGAGTCAGCAATTCTCTGTACTTCCGGACGAAAGAGGGAGAGCAGGCAGCGTCAATGTCGGCTGGTCGAGGGAGGAGAAGGTCGGCGAAGATCCGGCCTTTCCGTCCACCGTGGTGCAACTCGAATGGAGTCACGCCGATCGCCGGATGCACCGAAGTGTTGTAGGCGAACTCGATGTCGGGGAGGCGGTCAACCCAATCTTTCTGGTCCGGACGGATGAGCGTACGAAGCATCATTTAAGCGGTCTGATGTGCCCGCTCCGTCTGCCCGTCTATCTGAGGGTGTCGAGACGAACTTGGTTTCATTGTTGTGCCGGACTCCTGCATGAGAGCAGTCCAAAACACCGACATGAAACGAGTGTCGCGGTCGCTGACAATGTCTTCTGGTACACCTGGCCACAAATCCAACCAGTGTGCAGGAGGCGTGCCAGCTCGGGAGCCGTGGAGTAGTACTTGCAAGGGAGAAAACGCGCGTACTTACTCAATCRGTCCACAACCGTGAGGATGCCGTCGTGCCCGAGCCGTTCGCGAGGAAACGGACCGGTGACGTCCATGGCAATGGAGAGACCGGGTTCCCGTGGGATAGGCATCGGGTGTAACTCGCCGTAGGGATTGCAGTTGCGGGGTTTGCTGCGCCGGCAAACATCGCAAGAGTCGCAATACCGAGTGACATCGGTAATGAGGTCGGGCCATCGGAATCGTTGTCGAAGTCGTGCAATAGTGCGGTTGACTCCGAAATGGCCGACGAGTCGTGAATCATGGTACTCGCCGAGGAGGCGAGTCCGAAGACGACGGTCGCGTGGGACACATAGTAAGTCCTTGCCTCTCGAGTGGAGGAGCAAGTACCCGTCGGCAATGCGGTAATGGCTGGCCGGCGGGTGATCCGAAG